TGAGTGCTGACCCCGCCCCGTGAGTGCTGGCCCCGCCCCGTGAGTGCTGACCCCGCCCCGTGAGTGCTGACTCCGCCCCGTGAGTGCTGACTCCGCCCCGTGAGTGCTGACCCCGCCCCCTGCGTGCTGACTCCACCCCGTGAGTGCTGGTCCCACCCTGTGAGTGCTGACTCCACCCCGTGAGTGCTGGCCCCGCCCCGTGAGTGCCGGCTCCGCCCCATGATTGCCGACTCCGCCCTATGAGTGCTGACTCCGCCCCGTGAGTGCTGACTCCGCCCCCTGAGTGCTGACTCCGCTCCGTGAGTGCTGGCCCCGCCCACTCTGGCCGCCGCTAGGGTCGCTGGACGCCTGGGTGCGCTGCGTGTGCCATCCTGCCGCCGGCGCCCGCGGTCCTTGCAAAGTGAAACAGTGGGCGGTGACCGAGGGAGTGTCCTGTGATTTGACTGGGTGAGGACCTCCGCTGGCAGGCCCACGCGCTTCTCGGGAAAGGCGCTGTCTGCCGGGGCACAGCCGGCCCGGCCTGGGCTCCGTCTTGCTTTCCGGGAAGGGACGCCCAGGACGGAGCCGGGCCGGGCCAGCGCTGGGCAGCTCAGCGGCGACCTCCTGGCCTGGCCTTCCTCCCGGGGCGGTTCATGCGCGCACCCCGTCGGCCGGACCTGCGGTGCCGGAGCCACGGCGGCGCCGGAGGGGCGCTGGCCCTTGGTGTCCACCCGTGAGTGCCCCGCCGCCCGGACACCCGGTTTCCGTCAGACGCGCGGAGCCCCTGGGCACCACGGCTTCCTCGCTCACCTGCGCGTCACAGTCGGCCACGAGCCCATCGGCCTCAGAGCCTTTGAGGCCCCGACCGCCAGGGCTGGCGCCTCTCAGCTTGGCGTCGGGGGCCGAGACCTGCGAAGCAGCTGGCCCTTCGGTAGGCTTCACACATTTTTGCCTAATTCTCTTCTAATTAAAGAACCAGGACGCAGAATATATATTTCTCCCTTTGGTATTTGGGACCCAAACCTGCCTTTAAACGTCTTCTGGCCTTGTCAGCAAGCTGCTCGTTGGTGGCCGGTTCAGGTCGCACAGGGTCGCGTCGAGTCGTTGCCTCTGAGCGGGACACGCGTCCCTTCTACTGTCACACACAAGGCGGCCCCCAACAGCCTCCACAAATCTTTGCAACAATCGATTCTTCCTCAAGTTAGCACCTCAGCAGGGAAACTGCTGGGCTGGTGGCTGCGGTTAGGGTCAGTTGTGGCGACAGACGCTGCTCCTCACAGCTGCCTTCTCCCAGCCCACAAGGAGTCATTTCGGGGACCTGCTCCTATCACCTCGGGCAGTTGAAGGGCCGACACAGGCAGGATCTTAAGGTGGAGCAGCGTCCACGAGCAGATATTCCAAAATGGAGGGCAAAGGGGAGCGGCCTGAAGGCACAGGAGTGCAAGTTCTTGTCTGGTCTCAGCAGACCTTTATTTATACATTACAAGCAAGCCATGGAGCAGCATTAGCATATGAATTGGGCTGAAAGATCATCTTTTTTAAGAACAGTCTGGGGTAGCATTGACCTTCAGCTGAGATTATAACATTATTCTTAAAATCAATCTATTAAGGCCCTCTCCTGCCCCGGAGGTGACCACACAGCGCGGCAGACCTCTCCTGACCGCCCGCTGCTCCCCTCAGCAGTGGACTTCATCGATCTGCCTGTTCTGCTCCCCGCTCTGTCTCTGGGGAATCCTCTCACCCTCCGCATCTCTGGCCTGTACCCCAGTTCTGTACGAATAAATAAATAAGTCTTTAAAAAAAACTGAATAGAAAGCTTGAGTAGTTCCTTAAACACTAAACAGAAGACTTGGGTGAATTTCCTTATCTAAAGAATAGACTTAAAAGTTTAAATAGTTCTTTAGAAACTAAATAGAAGGCTATGTGAGATAGTAGAGTGATGAAATTTGGGTTCTCGTCTGGACAGTAAAAGCATAGGTTC